CATCTCCTCAGTAAGGAGAGTCTCTAAGGATACTTCTTTCAGGGCAGCTCTGACAGGATAAGAAATACGATTATACCAAGTATTTTGATTTGTGCCAAATAAAGCACATACCAATTTTTTTGTTTTAAAAGTTTACACCTATTATACAAAAAAAATACTTACATTGATTTTGTGATTAAAAATATCATCATGTTCAATAAATTATTGCTAAATAAAATGTGCCAATATATTCTTAATTATAATATAATAATTAAATACAATTTTCATGTATTTTGTTATACATATAAGGCATATTATAAGAACTTGAACCATTTTTACGTGAAATGAAGTAAATGTATACATGCAAACAGTTGTGACCTACACTGAATTCTTTTCGCTTGTGGGCTAATAAGCAACCATTTATTTACCAAATTATATGTTGAGATTACTGTTTTATTTTAAATTTAATGGACTGTAAATTATCTAACATATAAATGAAATAAAATAAGGTGTGAGGTATAACTTAGTTTCACTGTATTTTTTTCTGAAAAAAGAGGAGCTAGGTACAAAATAAAAGGTTGCAATTATTAATTTGTTTTTTACCTTTCAATGTTAGACTTTTGGATGTTGAGAACCCCTTCTGTGGCCCATTTTCCACCCATTTTGTGCTTACAACACAAGGCACATTTCAAATGCACTACATCTGTCGTATCTGACGTTACAGACAGCCACGGGAAACCTTTACACCATGATTTGATCGTAGCATCTAATGCTGTCGTATGTGTTTTTTGCTCTTGCAAACAATAGTCAAAATTTCTTCAATAATTGGCTGAATTACACTCTGAGAAGACACTGGGCTTGTTACACAGTAGAATGTGTCGATTTTTTGTGTTTGGGTTTCGAACAAGACATTATCAATGTATACAACTTGATAATTTGATAAATTTGACAATATTTTTTCTTTGACTTCTATAACGTGACAGACACTTGATTTATCTTATATACATCTATTACCGAGCGTCTCAGGTATATACAATGTCGACTGGTTTGCAATTATATACCCAGGCTGAGAAAATAACACACCTTTATAGAACAGTACGCTAACCAGTCAGTCATTTTTATCGGTGTCAATGTAAACACTAAATGCGTAAACTGTAATTATTATGCGTAAATATACGCCAAAATGAGTATTTGCTTGCGTAAATGACGCCGAAACGCACGCTTTCTCTAATGCTGTCTAGTTTTAAGTCTTTTTCACCAAAAGTTCTTTATTTCTTAAGATATTTATTTCAAACTTCAAACATAAGTTTCTGGTCATCAACCACATCATATATGACAAGGTTTTAACTCTAGCACAAAAATTATCAGAATTGCCCCCCTTGAACTTGCATGAAAAAAATGTTGTTTTTTTTGTTGTTTTTTTAATAACTTCTTTATTTCTTAATGTATCTTCTTCAAACTTCATATATATGATTCTCATTATCACTCAAATCATTTGTGAGAAGGTTCAATGCTATATCAAGAGTATTTTCAGAATTATGTCCCCTTGAACTTATTTTTTTTTTGTTGAGAAATTGGTATATTTTATTCCAACTTCTTCATTACTTATAGGATTTACTTCAAACTCCCACATCATAATAATATGACAAGGTTTATAAATCTAGCATTCTTATTTCCAGAATTATCTCCTCCTTAAACTTTGAATATTTCATATTCATTCTTTTAACTTTCTTTTACTTCAAATTCAGAATAAATATTCATTATGAAAAGCTTCATTACTAATTGTTCTTTGTTACATTCACATCATGTATGACATCTTGGATCTTTATTTCAAGAGTTATCTCCTCTTTAAGAATTTTTCTTTTAAAAATGTTATATTTTGGTAACAGGGATGTTTAAAAAATTAACTTTAGAGTGTCCTTCAGTCTGTCTGTTCATATAAACTGTTTCCTGTGATCACTTTTAAAGAACTTTTCCAACAAATTTGCTTAAAAAAGAGAAAAATTGAGACATTAGTGAATGGCCAATGGCACTTCAGAATGTTGCTGGGGTTCTAACTGGTAGGGGACTTCTGGATTGCTTGCAATACTATGATAATTGCTTGTTGAAGGAGGTAATACTTTATTTTATTCCCATGTCTTACAAATGCTTCATCAGGGCTGCAGATAACATGCGTATTTGCATAATTACCCAATTAAAATGTCAAAAAATGCAATAGAAATAATAACTAAGGGTAAGAAAAAGTAAATAAATTCTTATTTATGCAAACTGCATTGGAACTGGTGGGTAAAGACGTAAGTTTAATATACTTAACGCCGTCAATCAGACAGGTCATACTGTTTCAGACTGTTTCAACCTTTAAATTATATCAGGCAGCTAATAAACCATAAAGCATAGTAGTAAGTAGCTTTTTTATTACCATACAAAACCTACAACAGTCTACAATGAAGGTCAGAAATTTTTGGTAAAATACAAGAACATGTGCTTCAAAACCCAAAATGGTTAAAGAGGGTAGGGTAAAAAATGCAGAAATAACTCTAAGAAAATCAAAAAAACCCAATAGATCTCAAAACAGGGGGTAATCACCCAATATATACAAAATGTTATCTGTAGCCCTGCTTCATCCTTACTAAAGAAAAAAACAACACTTTTCGGGTATAAAATGCTCCGCCTAGCGGTGCTCTTGTTTCACAAAAGAATTCTTGTTTTGCATATTATGCCCCTTCTTCGACTTGTTTGGTTAAGTTTTTGTATGTAAGCTGGTATTTCCATGACTACTGAAGTACATACCCCTCTTCTCTGTGATTATCTTACATGATTGGTACAAGTACCATAACTCTGATTTGCTTTTTTAACTCACCTGACCACAAAGTGGTCAAGGTGAGGTATAGTGATGGGGCTATGTCTGTCGTCATGCGTCTTTCGTCGTCAACAATTGGGTACAGTCTAGCAGTCACAGTTTTGATTGGGTCATCATCAAACTTTATCAAAATCAAACTTTGTCAGAATGTTTGTCTCAATGAATACTGATAAAGTTCGAAGATGGGTTTTCTTGGGTCAAAAACTAGGTCACAGGAGGTAAAAATAGAAAAAGCATGTTAACACTCTAGTGGCTGCAGTTTTTATTCAAATTTCCTGATAATTTGTCAGGAAGGTTGTTTTGATGATTTGTATGTCAAGTTCGAATATGGGTCATCTCTGGTCAAAAACTAGGTCACAGGAGCTTAAAATAGAAAATTTTTGTTAACAATCTGGTGGCTGCAGTTTTGATCCAAATATTCTGGAAATTTGTCGGGAAAGTTGTTTTGATGATTTCTAAGTCAAGTTCAAAGATGGGTCATCATTCTCTGGTCAAAAACTTGGTCCCAGGAGCTAAAAATAGAAAAATCTCGTTAACACTCTTATGGCTGCAGTTTTGATCCAAATTTTCTGGAAATCGGTCAGGAAGGTTTTTTTGATGATTTCTAGGCCAATTTTAATATGGGTCATCTCTGGTTAAAAAACTAGGTCACAGGAGCTAAAAATAGAAAAATATTGTTGACACTTTAGTGGTTGCAGTTTTGATCCAAATTTCCTGGAAATCGGTCAAAAATGTTGCTTTGATCATTTGTAGGTCAAGTTTGAATATGGGTAATTTCTGGTCAAAAACTAGGTCACAGGAGCTAACAATAGAAAAATCTTATTAACACTCTTGTGGCTGCAGTTTTGATCCAAATATTCTTGAAATTGGTCAGGAAGGTTCTTTTGATGATTTCTAGGTCAAGTTCAAATATGGGTCATCTCTGGTCAAAAACTAGATCACAGGAGCTAAAAATAGAAAAATCTTGTTTACACTCTAGTGGCTGCAGTTTTTAACTAAATATTTTGGAAGTTTGTCAGGAAAGTAGTTTTGATGATTTCTAGGTCAAGTTTGAATATGGGTCGTCTCCGGTCAAAAACTAGGTCACAGGAGCTAAAAATAGAAAAATCTTGTTAACTCTCTAGTGGTTGCAGTTTTTATCCAAGTATCCTTATAATTGGTCAGAAAGGTTGTTTTAGTGATTTCTATGTCTAGTTTAAATATGGGTCATCTTCAGTTAAAAACAAGGTCACAGGAGCTAAAAATAGTAAAAATTTTGTTAACACTCTAGTTGCTGCAGTTTTGATCCCAATATATATTGGAAATTCGTCAGGAAGATTTTTTTGATGATTTCTAGGTCAAGTTTGAATATGGTTCATCTCCGGTAAAAAACTAGGTCACAGGAGGTAAAAATAGAAAAATCTTGTTAACACTCTAGTGGCTGCAGTTTTGATCCAAATATCCTGGAAGTTGGTCTGCAAGTTTGTTTTATGATTTCTAGGTCAAGTTTGAATATGGGTCACCTGGGGTCAAAAGCTAGTTAACACTGCTCAAATATGGAAAAACCTTGTTTACACACTAGAGGTCACATTTTTGACCCAATTGTTATCAAACTTGGTTAGGGTGCTTGTCTAAGACATTGACTCAATTGTTATCAAACTTTGTCAGGGTGCTTGGCTAAGACATTGACTCAAATATTATCAAACTTGGTCAGGGTGCATGTCTAAGACATTGCTCTGATGTGTTTGACGGGTCAGGGGTGCTATCTAGGGCTATCATAGCCCTCTTGTTGCATAATTAAGCCGTTTTTCAACTTAGAAATTCTTGGTTAAGTTTTTGCATGTAAGCTGGTATCTTCATGACTACTGAAGGGTTTGTGCCTTTTGTGGCAATGCATTCATAATAATCAAACAGTGATTTATTTGATTAAACATCTTAATAACAATTTTATGTATTCATATAGGTAAGCATTATTATACTCAATGAAACACCCTTGTGATAACACTTTCGAATTGTCAAGCTTTGCTGTCCTCCAACAGCTCTTTTAAAAGTGAATTCAGAAACTTTCAAAACTAGATATAAACTGTTAATACATTAAATGAAGATGATATAATGATCAGTTTTGTGCTAATGAGCAAAGTTAGATGTGTTGAACAATAAATATTATAAATATTATTACCAGGATTTCCATGTCATCAAAGATGAGACAGTGCCCTTATGGGCCAACAAATACATTTACATTCCAAACTCCTATTGGCCACATGGCTATGACATGCTGTCCTAAAGGATTACATACTCTAGGTATGGCAGGAGAAATAACAGATGAAAATTTCTCACCAAAGCCAAGGTAGTATGTCTCTTACAGTAAATATAGATTTAAAGTTCACAAGGTATATATTTATAAATTGGTTCAGTTGAAATTAATGAAAGCAAAGTTTTAATTAAATCTATATGCAAGTCAAAGATTCAAAAGATTTCCTTTGTAATATAATGAGCAGGATTAAAGTTATAAAGCCGCAGTCATGTATATGATATAATTCTAAAGTCTTGTAAGGGCTTTTAATGTTTAGAGAACAAGTTCAGATAATGTTTGATGGTAGGTAATGGTGTTTTGCCCATTATAAATTCAAATGAGATATGGGAATTATGAAATCCATTTGAAACTTAAGATACTTTATATTTGTTTAGCTTCTTACATTGAAGTTGATAAGAAATTGAATTTTACATACAGTCTGTTACCTTGTTATGCTCCCCGAAAAATTTAGAGGGAGCATAAAGTCGCCGGGTTGTACGTCCGTCCTTTCAGTCTGTCAGTCAGTCTGTCGGTCCGTACGTACATCCCGAATTTGTGTCTGGCCCATAACTTCGTTATTTGAAGTCGGATTTTACAACTATTTCACAGAAATGATCACCATATTGAGATGATGAGTCGCGCGCAACATTTGGGTCGCTACCTTGAAGGTCAAGGTCCTTGCAGCAAAATCTTGTCCAGCCCATTACTTTGTTATTTGAAGTCTGACTTTACAACTATTTCACAGAAATGATCACAGTATTGAGGTGACGTGTCGCGAGAATTATTTGGGTCGCTACCTTGAAGGTCAAGGGCACAGCATGACATCGTACAAAATCGTGTCCGGCCCATAACTTCGTTTTTTGAAGCCAGATTTTACAACTATTTCATAAAAATGATCACCATATTGAGACGTGTCACGTGCAACATTTGGGTAGCTACCTTGAAGGCCAAGGGCACAGCATGACATTGCAGCAAAATCGTGTCCGGCCCATAACTTTGTTATTTGAAGCCAGATTTTACAACTATTTCATAAAAATGATCACCATATTGAGACGTGTCACGTGCAACATTTGGGTAGCTACCTTGAAGGTCAAGGTCACAGCATTACCTTGCAGCAAAATCGTGTCCGGCCCATAACTTTGTTATTTGAAGTCGGATTTTACAACTATTTGACAGAAATGATCACCATATTGAGACGTGTCGCAATGTAAATTTGGGTTGTTTTTACACTTTGAACTTTGTCTGTGACATAACTCTGACACTACAAGAGGTATACCTTCCTGTGTCCAAAACGTATTTGGGGAGCATCACCCAGTTCAACCGGCTCTTGTTTAAAACATGAAATATGCTTGATTATGAATTCATTTTATACGAAAGTTACATTTATCTAAACTTTACACAATGTCATATGTATATATGTATATTTTTTAATCTTAGTCTTGATGTGTGTTTACTATCACAACTATACCAGGACAATGGCTACATGTACAAACCTGCAAACCAGTGTCTACAATGGTTACAGTCGTACTTCCATAATAAAGACAACCATGACATTGTAAAACCAAATATTTGTCAACATATTGGAAAAGAAGGTATTTTTTTCATTTATACAAAATATGCCTGTACCATCTTTGCAAATCAAAGTGCTACATATTAACCAGCTTTGAAACTACATGTAGTTATCTTTTGACAGTACATCAATGCATTTTTACAAAAAAATGTCTTGCACCTTTCATTATTATCCCCTGCCGATGAAATCGGGAGGGGGATATTGTTTTGGCGTTGTCCGTCCTTTCATTCGTTTCCACCCTAGTTCTCTGCAACTACTGGCTGGAATTCAACAAAACTTTATGGAAATCATCAATATTAAGAGGAGTGAGCATATTGTCTGCTTGTTCCAATCAGACCCTTCAACTCAGAGTTATGGCCCTTGATTAATTATGCGTATAGCGCAAAATTTGTTTCTGCGCTACTTCTCTGCAACTACTGGCTGGAATTCAACGAAACTTTATGGGAACCTTCAATACCAAGAGGAGATGCGCATATCGTCTACTTGTTCCAGTCAAACACTAACTCAAAGTTATAGCCCTTGATTAGTTATGCAGTATACCTATAGAACATAGCTGGTAGGGTTATTAATTACCTTCAGTGATAGGTCTAGTTATGCCTGATGCTGAATAAATAGGGGCACTTGTTCTGTTCATTTTAATTGGCAAATAGTTGACTTTGTTCTAGGGTCAGTTACATTTCAATTTTTAGCTCAACTGTCACAAAGTGACATGGTGAGCTTTTGTGATTGCTTTTCGTCCGGCCGTAAACTTTTACTTTAAACGACACCTCCTCATAAACTGCTAAGCCAATTTCATCCAAACTTCACAAGAATGTTCCTTTGGTAGTCAACTTTAAAAATTGTTCATAGAATTTAATTCCAAGCAGAACTCTGGTTGCCATGGCAACTTACTTAAAATATCTTCTTTTAGAAAACCGTAAGAGCTAGAGCTTAAATATTTGGCATGAAACATCATCTAGTCAGGGTCTATCAGGTTTATTCAAATAAATGCCCTGAGGTCCATATTGGCCCTGCTGGGGGGGGGGGGGGGGGGGGTCATTGATTTTCCTTATTTGTATATAGTAAAAAATTAAAAATCTTCTTTTAAAAAACCCAAATAGCTAGAGCTAAGATATTTAGCATGAAACATTTTCTAATTGGTGTCTACCTTTTTTGTTTAAATAAGGGCTAAAATTAGCTCCGCCTCAGGATTCATTGATTTTTATGCCCCCGCCATATAATGGCCATAGTGTTACCCTGTTCAGTCATTCCGTCCTTCTGTCATTCCGTCATCATCAGTTTCCGTTCATTATTTTAGTAACGGTTGCACACATTCAACTCAAATTTGACATATAGATATGTCATGAGAAAATACAGGTCAAATTCGAATTTGGTCATGGTTCGATGATTTTTGGCAGAGTTATGCCCCTTTTACTTTGAAAATAGTATGAAATTTTCTGTTTCCGTTTATTATCTCCCCAACGGTACAACGGATTCAACTCAAACTTGACATATGGATATGTCATGAAAAAAAAAACAGGTTAAGTTTGAATTTGGTCATGGTTCGATGATTTTTGGCAGAGTTATGCCCCTTTTACTTTGAAAATAATATGAAATTTTCAGGTTCCATTCATTATCTCCCCAACCGTACAACAGATTTAACTGAAATTGATAATGGATATGTCATGAGAAAATACAAGTCAAGTTCGAATTTGGTCATGGTTAGATGATTTTTGGCAGAGTTATGCCCCTTTTACTTTGAAAATAATATGAAATTTTCAGTTTCCATTCATTATCTCCCCAACGGTAGAACGGATTCAACTCAAACTTGGCATATGGATATGTTATGAGAAAATACAGGTCAATTTTTAATTTGGTCGTGGTTTGATGATTTTTGGCAGAGTTATGCCCCTTTTACTTTGAAAATAATATGAAATTTTCAGTTTCTGTTCATTATCTCCCTAACCGTACAACGGATTCAACTCAAACTTGACATATGGATATGTCATGAGAAGATACAAGTCACGTTCGAATTTGCTCGTGGTTCGATGATTTTTGGCAGAGTTATGCCCCTTTTACTTTGAAAATAATATGAAATTTTCAGTTTCTGTTCATTATCTCTCCAACAGTATTACACATTTAACTCAAATTTGACTTATGGATATGTCAAAGGAATTGGCTGGTCAAGTTGGAATTTGGTCATGGTTCGATGATTTTTTTGGCAAGAGTTATGTCCCTTTCACTTTGAAAATAATATGAAATTTTCAGTTTCCGTTCATTATCTCCTCTAGGGTATTACACATTCAACTCAAATTTGACATATGGATACGTCAAAGAAATGCGCAGGTCAAGTTTGAATTTTGTCATGGTTTGATGATTTTTGGCAGAGTTATACCCATTTAACTTTGAAAAAAAGGAAATTTTCAGTTCCCATTCATTATCTCCCCAACAGTTGTACATATTCAACTCAAAGATATGGATATGTCATAAGAATGTATTGGTCAATTTCGAATTTGGTCATGGTTTGATGATAGCTGACAGAGTTATTCCTCTTGAACTTTGAAAAAAAATCAGAAATTTTAAGTTTCCGTTCATTATCTCCCCAATGGTTGTACACATTCAACTCAAATACATCTTAGGAATAAGCAGTTTAAGTTTGAATTTGGTCGTGGTTCAATGATTTTTGACAAACTTATCTTTCCTGAATGTTGGAAACATTTTGAATTTTCAGTTTCAGCACTCATACTTATGTGGAAATGTATGTAGCCATTATTTTGGCCTCAAATATGCAATATGCAATTTACAAAAGGTTAAGACTGAATAATTTCAGTGCCTTCAACATTGTATAAAAATGGTTTGTGTTAACATTGAAAAGTTTTAAGGGCTTTGAACTTAAAATGAAAAAAATAATTTGTGCAAACAAATTTGGAACTAAATATTATAACATCTGAAATTTTGGCTGCATGCGGGGGCATCCGTGGCATGATGACACATTTCCAGTCCTTAAATATATATATAGTAAGAACTTAGAAAATCTTCTGTTAAAAAACCCAAGATATTAAGCATGAATTATTTTCTAGTGAGTGTCTACCAAGTTTGTTCAAAATTTGGGGGGGGGGGGGGGGGGGTCATTGATTTTCCCTATATGTGTATAGTAAAAACTTAAAAAATCTTCTTAGAGCTATATCATGAAACATCTTCAAATAGGTGTCTACCAAGTTTGTTCAAATAAAAGCCCCTGGGTTAAAATTGGCCCTGCCCCGAGGGCCTTTATACAGGTGAGCGATTTCAGGGCCATCATGGCCCTCTTGTTAATTACCCCATTCTGACAAGCAATGACTAACAAATGCCTTATTATTTGTCAGCAAAATTTAGAAATATTTACATCTTTTCCAGGATCTTTCAGATACAAAGTGTGGTTTACTCTTTTAAATGAAATTCCTTTTGGCAAGACTATCTCGTACAAGTGTTTAGCTGAACTATGTGGTAATGCAAAGGCCTGCCGTGCTGTAGGTCAGGCAATGAGCAACAACCCAGTAAGCTTTGTTATCCCCTGCCACAGAGTTATACAGGAAAATGGAGGGCTTGGTAACTATTCACATGGTACCCGGAATAAGATGAAAGAATGGTTGTTAAGACATGAAGGTGTCCTAAGATAGATTAATACAGGACAACAGTCAATCACACGATTTTATGGACAGCTGTTGTTTTTCTTGATGTAATATTACTGTGATAGACGTTTGAGTGAGAAATGTGGAATGATGGCAAATAAAGTGTGAAAGATATCCCGGAGAAATATAAGAAACTTTAAGACAATAGTGAAGCTTTATGTAAGAAATTTAAGACAGATTTCAGATACAGTGACAGATTTAAGTGATAAAAATTAGACACTGTATGGTGCAATGAAGTAGTTTAGTGAGTCTTTAAAATATCTTTATATTAGTGAGAAATTCAAGACATTTACAGTTATATTGTCTGTATATTGTTAAAGTTTTTAAGGGAGAAATTAAACACAGATAATGTGAACAATTTTGAAGAGAAGGTGAATAATTTTTTGACGCAATAAAAATGTTAATACATTGAAAGACATATACAATGTATGAATCTTTTTATTTTATGGTTTTGAGTGGGTTACTGATTTATCTGTGAAAAGTATATTTGATTATTTCACTGTGAAAATTATCAAAACATAACTACACTTTTTAATGTAGAGAATACTTTTTAAAGATTTTCCCCATGTAGTACCTCACTTATTTATGTTTATAATTCCAACATATCCAGGGCTGTTTAGAATAAAGCTGAAATTGATAAATAAGTTAACCTCATATATACGCAAAACAATGCACTTTTGATGACCCCCCCCCCCCCCTATATTGGCCCAAACACATGTTTTCCTTTGAGAAATGTTGCTAAAAAAAAGTGAGCACTTTTTCGGTGGCGCCCCCCAGGACAAAAGGTACATGAGGGGGTTGCCAAAAGGGGGATGTGCCCCCTTCTGTTTGGGGGGGGTTTCAAGGGGGGTGGCAGTCCCCCTCATCGCCAAGAAAATTTTGGACTTGTGAGGCTAAAATGGACCCCAGGTCGATCATACGGTAACGTGTAACCAACGCTGAAAAGCCTTTGACTCTATCACAATTCATTGAGAAGTTGCAGCACTTTAAAATCAATTTTGATGGAAAAATCAAGGCAACATAGTGATTTTTGGCAATTTTGAGATGTCCCCTCATTGCCATGGTAACAGGAAATTTAAGACTGAGCATGTCGTTACAAAGGCAATGGTCCAGTCAACAGTTGTGCCAAGTTTGATTAGTATTGAAGCATTTTTCATAGTTTCATAGCAGTTTGAACTTGTAACAGGAGGCTTTTCAATGAAAACGGCCATTTTCACAATATGCTCATGAGGGAAAGGGTTAAATTCTAAGTATTGGAATGAACTTGTTGCAAAAAAAATAAAATGGCTGGGGTTTTTCTGTAGGACTAGGTTAAACATACAAAATGATTGATATTAAAGGTTTACATTCTGCTTAAAGAAAGTATGCTAACACATTGGTTTCAATTTATGTTTGATTGTTTATGATTAAAAAGTATTATATGGATTCTGTTTAAATGACAACAATGTCTAGGTACAGTTCATGTAAATAATGTAACACATTGTATTTGAAGGTGCACCCCCATAATACCAGCTTATGCAGAATTCAACATTCAAACATGAAAGTTGTGAAATATGTATTATGTTGGAAAGGTGTACTTAAATGTTGTTCGAAACATTGCCATAGACATATTCATAGGACAAAAAGTCAAATAGCTTTGAATTTAATCTTCTAAAAAAATCCTTGAAAATTAAAAAAAAGGTCCTTGATAAGTCCTAGAAAAGTCCTTAAATTTTCAAAATGTCAAAGAGTAGGAACCCTGTTATGAGAAACTTTTCTGAAATTGAGGCTACTTTTGGGGAAAACTGATTGTAATATTTAAGTTAATAAAGGAAATTTCTTCAAACTTGTTTTTAAGCATAAAATAAAAACAAAATCTTGTGCACTTCAATAACAGTATTCTCCTTGGAATACTGTTTTATTCTTTAAGCACACTTGATGAAATAAAAATTTTTATATTATACACAACATACAAATATCCTCCATTTCATATACAGTGAAATAATCTTATATGCCATATCTCCTGCAGGATGACAAAATCCCCAATTTTCGACCTTGTTTCCCCATCTCCTGTCATGGGACTGATATTCCTGATTTTCAAGAATCAAACAATCAAAAAATTAAAGGAGTAGTTTAAGCAAGAAAAAAATTTAGAGGTATTGATTAGAGGTATTGCAAACTTAAATCTAATTTCTTGATTATAAATTTTTTAAGATCCTGTATGTTATAATTGAGATTACATACCGTAAAATTCCTATTAAAAGCCCCCGGGGGCTAAACATTTTCCAAAAGGGTGGCTATTATTACAACACAGTTTTTCCTAAATCCAAAAATCAGTGTGAATACATTTAGTGTTAGCAAGTGTTGGCAATAACAATAAAAAGTGTTTAGATTCATACTATAAAATAAAATGGATTCTGAATGATTTGAATGAAATTATGGATTTACTCATGAGTTCAGCACTGATGAGTAGATTGTTTTTAGCTCACCTGTCACAATGTGACAGGGTGAGCTTTTGTGATCGCTTTTCGTCCGGCGTCCGTCGTCCGTCCGTCCGTAAACTTTTGCTTTAAATGACATCTCCTCATAAACCACTGAGCCAATTTCATCCAAACTTCACAGGAATGTCCCTTTGGTGGTCACCTTTAAAAATTGTTCAAAGAATTTAATTCCATGCAGAACTCTGGTTGCCATGGCAACCAAAAGAAAAAACTTTCAATATCTTCTTTTAAAAAACCATAAGAGCTAGAGCTTAGATATTTGGCATGAAACATCTTCTAGTGAGTGTCTACCAAGTTTGTTCAAATAAAAGCCCTGGGGTCAAAATTGGCCCCGCCCCTGGGGTCAAAATTGGCCCCGCCCCTGGGGGTCATTGATTTTCCTATATGCATATAGTAAAAACTTAAAAAATCTTCTTTTAAAGAACCGTAAGAGCTAGAGCTTAGATATTTGGCATGAAACATCTTCTAGTGAATGTCTACCAAGTTTGTTCAAATAAAAGCCCTGGGGTCAAAATTGGCCCGACCCAGGGGGTCATTGATTTTCCCTATATGCATATAGTAAAAACTTAAAAAAATTTCTTTTAAAGAACCCAAAGAGCTAGAGCTAAGATATTAAGCATGAAACATCTTCTAGTGAGTGTCTACCAAGTTTGTTCAAATTAAAGCCCTGGGGTCAAAATTGGCCCCGCCCCGGGGGTCATTGATTTTCCCTATATGCATATAGTAAAAACTTAAAAAATCTTCTTTTAAAGAACCATAAGAGCTAGAGCTTAGATATTTGGCATGAAACATCTTCTAGTGAATGTCTACCAAGTTTGTTCAAATAAAAGCCCTGGGGTCAAAATTGACCCCGCCCCAGGGGGTCATAGATTTTCCCTATATGCATATAGTAAAAACTTAAAAAATTTTCTTTTAAAGAACCCAAAGAGCTAGAGCTAAGATATTTAGCATGAAACATCTTCTAATGAGTGTCTACCAAGTTTGTTCAAATAAAAGCTCTGGGGTCAAAATTGGCCCCGCCCCAGGGGGTCATTGATTTTCCCTATATGCATATAGTAAAAACTTAAAAAATCTTCTTTTAAAGAACTCAAAGAGCTAGAGCTAAGATATTTAGCATGAAACATGTTCTAATTGGTGTCTACCAAGTATGTTCAAATAAAAGCCCTGGGGTCAAAAATGGCCCCGCCCGGGGGGGGGGTCATTGATTTTCCTTATATGTGTATAGCAAAAACTTAAAAATCTTCTTTGGAAAAACCCAAATAGCTAGAGTTTAGATATTAAGCATGAAACATCTTTAAGTAAATATCTACAAAGTTTGTTAAAATAAACACCCCGGGGGTCAAAACTGGCCCTGCCCCAGGGGTGACATTGTTTTTAACTATATGTGTATAGTAAAAACTTTAAAAATCTTCTTTTTAAAAATGCCAATGAGCTAGAACTTAGATGTTTAGCATGAAACATCTTCTTATGGGTGTCTACCAAGTCTGTTCAAATAAATAAATAAAAGCCCTTGGGTAAAAATTGGCCCGGGGGTGGGGGGCCTATATACAGGTGAGCGACCTCAGGGCCATCATGGCCTTCTTGTTCTTTATTAGGGGCGTTTATTAGGAATTTTACGTTTTTTTTTTTGTTTTTTTTTAATGCGTTTATTTAAGGCCGCCGCAGGAAAGCCCATATGGGCGACCGTACACTCAAGTCGGACCATCCTAGAGCGTCCCGCCGAGATTTTTACGTTTTTTTTTTTTTTGATGCGTTTATTTTAGGTAGCCGCCGGAAAGCCCATATGGGCGACTGTACACTCAAGTCGGGTTATCCTAGAGCGTCCCGCCGAGATTTTTCGTCAATTTTTTTCCAGCTTTATTGGTGGAGGAAGACCCCAGGTGCCCCTCCGGGCATTATTTCAGGCACGAGCAGGCACCTGGGTAGAACCACCGACCTTCCGTAAGCCAGCTGGATGGCTTCCTCACATGAAAGATTTTGACCCGAGTGAGGATCGAACCTACAGTGGTGAGGGACCTGTGATCTCAAGTCAATGACTTTAACCACTCGGCCACGGAGGCCCCACTTTTTTACGGTACCACACTTCAGTGAAATTATATGTATATAATTATGATTATAAAACAATTTTCAAAAATCACAGAATATGTAAAATATGTACTGCAGATATTTGTACATATTATATGTAATCATTAAAATATATGCATTCATTTCTTTTTGAAAAATTTGACTTAGACTTTATAGAAAATAGATTTTTTATTACCTCCCTTTATTAAACCAGACTAAACATGACCTTCATTCATAAATGACCATGACATTCAAGGTCGGATTTCTAAATTTTACTTTATTTTTGCTGATTTTGTGATTGCAATATGTCCAGCATCCGTCTGTTCATTGTCCATCTGTCCATAAATTTTTACTTTAAACCGCTTAGCCTTTGAAAATTGTTCAAAGAAATGAATTCCATGCAAAACTCTGTTTGCCATGGCAACAAAAAGAAAAAAAACTTATAAAATCTACTTTTAAAAACCCAAAGAGCTACAGCTTAGATATTTAGCATGAAACATCTTCTAGTGGTTGTCTAGTAAGTTTATTATCCCCCGCCGATGGAATCGGGAGGGGGATATAGTTTTGGCGTTGTCCGTCCGTCCGTCCATCCGTCCGTCCGAATTTCGTTTCCAGAGTAGTTCTCTGCAACTACTGGCTGGAATTCAACGAAACTTTATGGGAATCATCAATATCAAGAGGAGATGCGCATATCGTCGGCTTGTTCCGGTCAGACACTTTAACTCAGAGTTATGGCCCTTGATTAGTTATGTAGTATGCATATAGAGTAAAAATCGTTTCCGCACTACTTCTCTGCAACTACTGGCTGGAATTCAACGAAACTTTATGGGAATCATCAATACCAAGAGGAGATGCGCATATCGTCGGCTTGTTCGGGTCAGACACTTTTACTCTAGTTATGGCCCTTGATTAGTTATGCAATATGCATATGGAGTACAAATTGTTTCCGGAGTAGTTCTCTGCAACTACTGGCTGGAATTCAACGAAAAATTAATGGGAATCATCAATATCAGAGGAGATGCGCATATCGTCGGCTTGTTCCGGTCAGACCCTTTAACTCAGAGTTATGGCCCTTGATTAGTTATGCAGTATGCATATAGAGTAAAAATCGTTTCGGCACTACTTCTCTGCAACTACTGGCTGGAATTCAACGAAACTTTATGGGAACCTTCAAAACCAAGAGAAGATGCGCATATCGTCGGCTTGTTCCGGTCAGACACTTTAACTCAGAGTTATGGCCCTTGATTAGTAATGCAGTATCCATATAGAAAAATATTTGTTTCCTCGCTACTTCTCTGCTACTTCTGGCTGGAATTCAATGAAACTTTAAGGGATACTAAGAGGAGATATGCATATAGTCGCCTTGTTCCAGTCAGATACTTATAACTCAGATTTATGGCCCTTGATTAGTTATGTAGTATGCATACATCTCATTGGCATTCCCAGATTTTACTATTTAAAACAAAGTTATGGCTCTGTTATTGCCCTGAATATTTATCAAGTTAAAAGAATATTACTGTTTATGCCATGATTAATATATAAATAAAGCCTTATGTCTTCAGTTGTTGTGTTAATAATAACTAGTACTCGGCAGGGATATAAATTCAAAGAATTTGCTTGTTGAAATAAAATCCCTGTAGACATAATTGGCCCCTACCCCAGAGGATGTTTGATTTTCCTTATATTTATATAGTAAAATCTTAATTTTTTTTAAAAAACCCAAAAAGCTAGAGCTTAGATATTTTGCATGAAACATCTTCTATAGGGTGGCTACCAAGTTTGGTAAAATAAAAGTCCTGGGTTAAAAGTGGCCCCGCCCGGTGGTTGGGGTGTCTATATATATATATAGTAAAAACAAAAATTATCTTCTATTAAAAAATCCCAAAGAGCTAGAGGTTAGATATTTAGCATGAAACATTTTCTAGTGGGTGTCTACTAAGTTTGTTGAAATAAAATCCTTGGGGTCAAAATTGACTCTTGGGGATCATTGATTTTTATGCCCCCACTTCAAAGAAGAGGGGGTGGGGTATATATTTTTGCATTTGTCTGTCTGTTGGTCAGTCAATCGGTCTGTAGACCACATGGTTTCCGAGTGATAACTAAACAACACTTAGGCCTGAGAACTTCCAACTTGGAATGATGATTGGTCATGACAGGTAGATGACCCCTATTTATTTTGGGGTCAAGGGTCAATGTCACATTGACCTTGTAAGTAAAAACTGTTTCCAATCAATAACTAAAGAAGGCTTAGGTCTAGGAACTTCAAACTTGGTATGATGATTGCTAATGACCAGTAGATGACCCTTATTGATTTTGGGGTCAAGAGGTCAAAGTCCCATCAATAACTAAAGAAATCTTAGGTCTAGGAAAGAAAACTTAGGTCTAGGAACTTAAAGTGTGGTATGATTATTGCTCATGACCAGTAGATGACCCCTATTGATTTTTGGGTCAAGGGGTCAAAGGTCAATGTCACATTGACCTTGTAGGTAAAAACAGTTACTGATCAATAGCTAAAACAGTCTTAGGCCTAGGAGCTTCAATCATGGTATGATTGTTAATGACCAGCAGATGACAGCTATTTATTTTGGGGTCAAAGGTCAAGGTCACATTGACCTTGTGGGTAAAAACAGTTTCCAGTCAATGACTAAAGAATGTTTAAGCCTAGGAAACTCAAACTTGGTATGATGATTGCTCATGACCAGTAGATGACTCCTATTGATTTTGGGGTCAAGGGGTCAAAGTTCAAGGTCATATTTATCTTATTGGTAAAAACAGTTGACGATCAATAACTTGACAACCCATGAGCTGTTGTAGATGCATTTGACTTGACAATTTGATGACCCCTATTGATTTTGGGGTAAACGGGTCAAAGGTCAAGGTCATATTAACCTTGTAGGTTAAAATGGTTTCCGATCAATAACTTGACAAGCCCATAGCTGCTGGCTCTCAAACTTTGTAAGTGCATTTGTCTTGGCCAGTAGATGACCCCTATTGATTTTGGGGTCAGAGGGTCAGTGTCATATTTGACCAATAACTCAACAACACAAGTTGCCTTGGTTGATATTTTTATATTGAACTAAAATGCTTTTCGTATACACATTTGAAGTCTTATGTAATATAACAACTTGGCTGTCATTAATGAGGCCTACATGATTCATAAAATATGTGCATATATTATTTGGTAGATTTGTAATAATGTTATTATAAAATTGCTGCACACAACCTATGCGGTCACAGTAATTATTACCTAGTGAGTAGGCATGACCAGTAGATAACCCTTATTGATTTTTTGTTCACTAGGTCTAAAGTCAGTCATAATAACCTGATCACATGACTTATTGGCTGCTGATAGGGGGCATACATGTTTTACAAACATATCTTGTTCTTATAGGTATATATTAAAAGAAAAATCTTTTAAAAAAAAAACTCAAAGAGCTCGCGCTTAGATATTTAGCATGAAACATGTCCTAGTGAGTGTCTACCAAATAAAATTTGGTCTCCAGTTTGCTTTGGCCTATTGATGCCAAACTTGATTGCTGAGCTTATATCAAGAGGCAGCATGGGATTGCTACAGATCAAGTTCAATGTTTCTGTTCCTAAAAATAGAAATTCAGTTAAGGCTCAATAGTGTGAGTTTGCATAGGCCTGTTGACACCAAACTTGATTTATGGGTAGCTTATATCAAGAGGAAGCTTGAGATTACTACCAAGGTGTCTGGTCAAGGTCACTGTTGCTAAAAAATAGAAATTCAGTTTCCGCTCAATTACTTTGGCCTATTAGTTTGCTTTGGCCTATTGATGCCAAACTTTGTATCTGGGTAGCTTATATCAAGAGGCAGCTTAGGAATGCTACCCAGATGTCTGATCAAGGTCACTGTTGCAAAAAAAATACAAATTCAGTTTCCGCCAAATAACTTAAGTTTGCCTAGGCCTATTGACACTAACATGGTGTATGGGTAGCTTATATTAAGATGTAGCTTGGGATTGCTACTTAGAAATCTGAGACCAAGGTCAAGGTCACCTGCTTACAATAGAGTTTTTATCTTTTGCTCAATAACTCCAACCTAACCTAACTCAATTCTAACCTATGGATACTTTACATGTGTGTATCTTACATGAAAATACAGCCTGGCATTTCTACTTCGGTATCTAGTATATTTCTATTTTGAACAATTGAAACCAACTTTCTGTGTTGGTACAAATAACAGCATTTTTTCTTCAATGCCATATTTCATTCTAATTCCTGTCACATCAATACTTGGTCGTTGAAAACCGGTTTCCATTGCTTTGTGGTGCTTCTTGTAAGTAAACATCATCTGGAACTGTTGTTTTCCCTTAGCAATAGCAACCAGTAAAAACATGCGGTATTTATGAGCATGGTGCTATCAGTTTAAGATTTAGATTTTATATCCACTTTTGTTTATTGTTTACAATATTACTTGTTCCTTGTCATGGAGAGTTTTTAACCAGGTTTTCCGAAGGAAAAAACTGGTTATTAGATTGAGGTATGTCGGCGGGCGGGCGGACGGGCGGGCGGACGGGCGGGCGGGCGGGCGTAAACAATTTCTTCTGTGCGCAACTCCTCCTACATTTCTCAACAGATTTTGACCAAACTTTCACAGAAGCTTTGTCATCAAGTGCCCTGGCGCATATTGTCGGGGTTTTGCGATTAGATAATATTTGACCTAATTATGGCCCTTTGTTTTTTTTCCTTATATAAAATATATAGTGAACAATTTCTTTTGGCGCAACTCCTCCTACATTTCTCAACGGATTTTGACCAAACTTTCTCAGAAGCTTTGTCATCAAGTGCCCTGACACAGATTGCCAGGGTTTTGCAATTGGTATATATTTGACCTAATTATGGCCCTTTGTTTTTTTTCCTTATATAGAATATATAGTCTCTGTGCGCAACTCCTCCTACATTTCTCAACGGATTTTGACCAAACTTTCACAGAAGCTTTGTCATCAAGTGCCCTGGCGCATATTGTCGGGGTTTTGCGATTAGATAATATTTGACCTAATTATGGCCCTTTGTTTTTTTCCCTTATATAAAATATATAGTGAACAATTTCTTCTGTGCGCAACTCCTCCTACATTTCTCAATGGATTTTGACCAAACTTTCTCAGAAGCTTTGTCATCAAGTGCCCTGACACATATTGCCAGGGTTTTGCAATTGGTATATATTTGACCTAATTATGGCCCTTTGTTTTTTTTCCTTATATAGAATATATAGTGAACAATTTCTTCTGTGCGCAACTCCTCCTACATTTCTCAACGGATTTTGACCAAACTTTCTTAGAAGCTTTGTTATCAAGTGCCTGGCACATATTGTCGGGGTTTTGTGATTGGAAAATATTTGACCGAATTATGGCCCTTTGTATATTTTTTCCTGATACAGAATATATAGAGAACAATTTCTTCTGTGCTCAACTCCTCCTACATTTCTCAACGGATTTTGACCAAACTTTCTTAGAAGCTTTGTTTTCAAGTGCCTGGCACATATTGTCGGGGTTTTGTGATTGGATAATATTTGACCGAATTATGGCCCTTTGTATATTTTTTCCTTACACAGAATATATAGAGAACAATTTCTTCTGTGCTCAACTCCTCCTACATTTCTCAACGGATTTTGACCAAACTTTCTTAGAAGCTTTGTTTTCAAGTGCCTGGCACATATTGTCGGGGTTTTGTGATTGGATAATATTTGACCGAATTATGGCCCTTTGTATATTTTTTCCTTATACAGAATATATAGTGAACAAT